CTGCTTGACAGGATGAACCATTCCCATCTTCAGATGAAATACTGTTTTTTAAAAAAACGTGTTGGTGATCCACGAAGTTCTGCGTTGAAGTCGCCAACTGACCCATTTGTGTCAGGTGTGCCAAAATGAGAACTGCCATTTTCTGCAGTACAGAAATCCCAGATAATTTACTGGTCAGTTTTCCCTCCAGAACCTATGGATCCTGGTAAGCATTCGAGCTCATTCTACGCAGAGGCAATTACTGACTTTCGTTCGAAACGGTCCGGAGCCTCCTTCACAAAGCATTAAACTTTGAAATTTCGCTTGAGAAGAGGCGTTCGCCATGATGGTGTACGAGCTGTTCTTTTTACAAACAGTGGACTACATATGCTGGTGACTGACACAAGGGTGCAAGCAGCTCTAAGACGTCTCCATTATTCCTGTTCTAGTAGACGAGCTGAGCATCATGGATAGCGATTGACTAGCGCCTGAACACCCCATAGACGGGGAAGATCTATGGAGAATTTCCTGCTACAAGATCGAGATACTCCTTAGCGTGATGTTGGATAAATTCATGTAAAGCTAATCTGACCGCTACACGTACACCACCGAACTTCATATCAAACTAATCCTGCTGTTCGGGAGGCGTAAAAGCTGAATAAAATCTTATGTATACATTTCAAGAGTGACTGTGTAGCCAGCACGGTCAAACATGCTGTTACCCGTGTACGAAATTTAGTTTCCGATTATTTTACTGCATCATTTGCGCCTCATGCACTTCACGGGAGAAAAAACGAGTAGCATGCTGGACCAATCGTTTTTCTTATGACGCAATCGACCGGTTCACGTGCAGCTATGACGACGCAGATACTAGAAGAACTGAACGACACCTGAGACTTACGGCTTTAACAATCAAAAAAACTGATTGTGACAGGAGATTTGGCAAATTTCAATAGGATTCTCATCTTGTCATTGAGGCTATGCCAAAAAGCCAAGAAGCACCGTGCAGCTATTTCAGTAGGGCTTGTCGGCTTTTTCCCGTGCCTTCACTGACAGGAGATTGAATGAATATCCTCACACTACCATCAGTCAATGACTCACTGGTCATCGTGGCGATTGCAAATTCAACCTAGTCTTATAGTCACTGACCAATGGCTATCGTGAAGCCGACCACCGCATCGAAAATCAGTTTTAGATCTCACTTCAAAACGCGAACTCTAATTTGAAAGCCGTGGCCAAAAATTATCAACAGGCAAAATTATAACAGGGAGAGAAACAACCAGAATACTTCAAGGGTAATAGATAAAGTGTTCTAAGAATGAAAGAAAGTCTCATTCGCCTAGAAATCGTGACTGAAAGTGTGCATTTGGCTCCTGCCTTACGTAGCCTGAAATATCGGCAGCCTTCTAGAGTGGCAGTTTTCTGGGATTTGGAAGCATTTTAGCTACCTCCGGACGCTAAAGGTAAAAAATTACAAACGTAATCTCCGGTGCTGATGAGCGATGTCCAAGAACGGAGTCCCGATTTGGAGACTGTTACTGTGGTTAAGTATGAAATGCTCACAATTGACGGGGTTCTTTTTCTAGTAAACTACATGGTATTATTGACGATATAAACTACTCTTTATCTTTAAATTCACTGTGTCCATTAAGCAGTATGATCACTGCATTGGGCGCGGGCATGGTGGGGCAATAACGAGCATACTTGTGATAAAGAAGAGCTGGCTCGTGGAGTAGTATACCTTTCAGTGTTGTGGCCTCATAGTTGGGGTCGCACGTAGGTATGAACCCAAAAGTCGCGACAAATAGCCAAGGTAAACGACAATCCATGTGGTCATTATGAACAGGGTAAATTGTTGGCCTTATTTCCAGGTGATATCGCTGCGCTTCACGATCCAGTTAAGCAGCACCATACTTTTCAGTATATGTGTTTCATCGGGATGCTGGTAGTTTACATGCAAATATCTGAAAAGCTGCGTTACCTCCTGAGTAGTTGCGCAAATCTGGAAATGGAAATCACCCACAGAGATCACTTTCGGTGTCGGTGCATCAAACTGCCCTCGATAGTTTTCCTGGATGCAAGGCAACCATCCCAATGACTGTGTCGTGCAGATGTTCGGCGAACAAGATCATCTGATTTGTTACGTCCAACGAGTATAACGCATACAATCTATCGACCTGGATGAAATTTACTCTAGGTATCTTGTGGACACATTCTCCTATTTGAAGAATGGCAGTCGATTCAAGCAAATTATTGACTGGTTCGAGTGACGTGATCCGTACACGAACATATAACTTCTCCATACAAGACCTGGCCAATTAGCAGAAGTTTGCACCAATGATTTCGCGCTGCTCCATGGGCTGGTGTGATGAGCGTGTTGGCGGTCCAAGTTTGGGAACATCCCCGTTAGCACTTTTCTGCGCAGGGCACTACTGATTTTGTTGACAGTCATATACAGCATAAAAATATTATTGACTGAGATGAAAGCAAACTAAGGTTGCGAGTGCGAAAAAGTGTTGTATATGTAGTTAAGTCTGAAGAGAGATTTCCCAAAAAAATGTCGAATTCCTGCTAAACTTCTATAGAGAGAAGTGGTGTGGTTGTTTCAGACCAGTTTCTCATTTGCACTGACAATCAGTCTTTCCTTAATTCATGCGTTGTGAGCAATTAATTCGTTCTTTCGTTGGTTTGTGCAGAAATGTAGTTTGAATGCGCGCGCTCCCGGGCTCGTGCACGAAGCGCACGAATCGTATGCAATCCACTGGTTCGTCAGTGACCTTGAAAGTCCACTCACTTAAACAAAGCACTATGAGCAACATATCACAAAAATCTGCAATCTGATTGGCCCAACTCCTCATAAAATTGAGAGAAACTCACCGAAGACTCCCTAGTCTCGGAGAAATTAATTTCGGTTAATGCTGAGGAGCGGCAAATTAATCTCCCTTTAATCTTGTCATAGAGGGCCTTGATCACATCGGCTACATGGGCTTCGGCGGTGCTCTAAACCGACGGGCCAGACAGTGATGAAAAAACAAATCACTCGTACTTATTCCACAGAAATATGAGGTGGACAATTCAGTAATACTTTGGAAAGTTGTGAAAAATTTTCATCCCAGTGTAACCGACCGACCGGTTGGCGGTACTAAAAAGTTGACGCACACACACTATTGCTGTGGGAAAGCGAAAAAGACCGTTAGAGCTGCGTGTTCTCCACATAGGCTAGGCATTGAAAAATTTTGTGTATCCTCAGAAAGCGGATCAGCATACCACACGACATAGGACAGTCGGTAAATTGTGAATTACTCTTGCGGAGGACCACCGCTTATAAGGATGACGCAACCTTACCAAACCTGATAAGGTAGGGTCGTTAGTTGTGACTCGGTCGTTAGACAAATGTTCCATACGTCCGAAGTATATTGTTAAACCTACCTCCAGTGCAAAAGCGCTCACCGCAGCATCCATAATGAAAGTCGGCTGGAGCAGCCTATGACGTACTGCGTTCGGGCTAAGAGAGTGAAATTTAGCCCTTCACACCATTCCTTGATGAATGCGTTTCCATTGCTTCCAACAGTTGCGGGGTTATTGCTAACCATGGAAGATCGCTGCCCAGTTTAACAAAGTAGGCTCGCAACGCCCACCTACCAGATAGTCATGCATCAAGGTCGTGGCTGTGAAAACGGGCACCACCACACGGAGTCATCGTCGTTCTAACTGCGCACCTCGTGCTACGCTCACCCGGCTCGAGAGGCCGGAGAACCTGGAAGGCCTGATGTTATGTTATGGGTTCCTGGAATCTGATCATGGGGCTTTTGCTTGTCTCGTCCCAACAGGCTGCGGCCCTCGAATTGTGACTAACAACATTATCGTCTGGTTCACGACCCATGATGAATGACCGAGAGTGGTACAAAACGTGATAACGACAACTTAACAGCAAATATGTGCCCATCGATCTGTCGGGTTATTTGCGCTTTGTCGATTTGGCCCAAGGCGCTGAAACTGCTTCTTGTCGGCCACAGTGGCCAAGCAGTTTGGGATAGAAGGCGAAGCAACGCTTGCAGAAGTGTTCACGGTAAATGGCTTAAGTTTGAGGACACACTGGCCATCAGCTCGCTATATGGTTCTTGCGTGACGGACAACTTATCAATATCGGATGTACCTGTAACACAGAAGCTTCAGTCAAGGACAATTTACTTCGAAGAAAATCAATGCATTTTGCTGACATTCATTGCTTACGAATCCTTGGGAATAACGCCTGGTTTCGCAGCTTTCTTTAAATAATGCGAGATGTATACGGTTCGGGCCCAGTTCCCTTTCGCTTTGGAAGAACGATATACTTCGTGGGGTTTCGTTGCTTGTGGTGGACAAGTAGCAACGTTCCATTCAGGCCAGTGTTCTTTCAGTGATGGTGAAGTGCACAGTTCGAATGTTCTCTAGTATGCAGACTGTCGCTCATAAAAATTGTGCAGACGCCTTACCGTCCCCTTTATCGGCAAGCTTTTCGATGCTTTTTGTTCTCAGTTGACTGAGGATGCGAGTTATCTGAGACAGGGTACGGGTGAAGCATGTAAAGAAGTCCATCTCCATCTGTTAAACCTTCGTAATCTACCATCGATCTTTGTTATTCCGTAGGCTTTTGACTACCCTTCGTTTGAGGAACATGCATGAGCCAATTTGGTCGCTGGCTGTCGGTGTACCTATTCAGACAGCAAAAAGGTTCGCCGATCTCGACTAAATCATTTGTGGTGGTATGGCTCCCCAGAAAGCTACTTGACCAGGAGTGCGCGGCAAAGAAATAAAAATAAACAACGCTATTTGTGCACACAGGAATAAAAGGGTCAGATGGAACTGATTCGCTAGGTATTGTTCCCTTCGGAAAAGTTCGTCTTTGGCCCAAGTCAGCGAATAAACAATAATCCAGTCATGGTGGTCTAGAGGTCTCCTTCTGAACCGTTCCCACATACAATTGATTCCGAAGACAGTTTGAACTGTTTGATGCCAGAGTTAGCACATGAGACTCGCGAATGACCGCTGTGGGCAGGAGCAAAATCAGAAGAGAAAGTAGAAGCGTAACCACGTTTGTATTGCGTGAAATTGTACAATTGCTCGCTTTTGTGGTTTACGATATTCAACCGAAAAATGTTTATGCAGTTGGCAAAATACGTAAATTTTTAATGAAAAAAGATACAAAACAATACATATTTGGACTAGTCGGGTACCCTGGTAAGCTGACAGCTGACGGTTCTCTGCCGTGTATATTAGTGCATGGTGAACGACAGCCACTGACCGACAAGAACAAAACCGACCCGGGAAACTTGGGCAAAAGCCTCGATCCTGTGTATCAATCCGTGAATCCGTGAATCTTTGGCTATCTTATGTATATTCCCTGACCAGTCTTCAACACCAGAGTGTGTCAGGAGGCGAGGTATTCTGAATAGCGGTATACCACGTCGGTTGCAGCGGCATGCAGACCATAGGACCTCACGCACTGATTGGATAGAATATCGGCGAATCAGGATGGAGCATCTATTGCTCGGCGCTTGCCGCCCACTCGTGACGATTCTGGTAATAACCTTTTGTGATCACCCCATCACTGCTGTTGTAATAATTCTTCATTTTCGCCACTACAAGGCTGCCTCAACGTACCGGATCTTTTTACATACCATCTTGCGTGGAACAAGAGGCCAAAAACCGACCTACCTAATTCTTACTTATGGCCTGTTTGAACAAAGCTTGGCAACCAGGTTTTTTTTTACCGTTGAACCAACAAACACCCGGCGGGGACATAGTAAGAAAATTTTCAAGCTCAGAGCACACACATTCATTAGACAAAATTTTTTCTCATTTCGGGTAGTAGGTGCGTNCGGTTGTTCACGCTCTTTCTAGAACCCAGTCTAAAGCACTATTGGACACTTATTTATGCGAATCCTCGCGCTGGCAAGCATACTGCTCGCGCTGAGCACATGAAGAGCAGTGCTACACCCTTTTTCACTTGTGCCTTTCAGGTGAACGACAGCCACTGACCGACAAGAGCAAAGCCGTCCCGGGAAACTTGGGCAATAGCCTCGATTCTGTGTATCAATCCGTGAATCCGTGACACGTGCTGGACAACCGTCTACGTGACAAAATCTTGACTGTGTTTTCGTTAGCTTTCTAGCCACACCAGGCTATAGTACACCGTGGGCGATTTTCTTCAAAAGGAGGGCCAGTATGGTATACAGCTTCCCTAATTTTTGTAGACCGAAATGTGAGTATTGGCGACGTGCAACCTTGCTTATTGGGCTTCTGGTCACTGCTTCACGGATTGATTCACAGTTTCGAGGCTTTCGCCCAATTTTCCCGGGTTAGTTTTCTTCTTGTCGTTCTGCAGCTGCCGTCCACTTGAAAGGCTTAAGCGGCAGAAGGGTGTAGCATAGCTCTTTAGGTTTTCATCGTGGGGTAGTAAGCTTGCCGGCACGGGGTACTATATGAAGCATGGACAAGCGTCGGAGGAAGGTTACTCCAGGCAGTAACTACAAGAAGGGAGTGAGCTTTGTCTGATAAATTTTTTTACCATGTCCTCACTGTGTTAACTGGATCAGGGGTGAAAAACCTGTTGGCCAAACCTTGTAAGTATTAGGTTTCCTTGGACTCGATGATACTCCAGGGGAAAGAAGCCAACGCGGCGAGACGCGTTTTATAGTCCACGGATTTGAGACCAGCAACCACTTTCGTAGAATCCTGTTGGACACGCTCGATGAGTTTTACATCCCTGCGTCCTGAGTAGACAACTTGGTTGATATATTCGAGAAGCGGCCTGACGTAGGCCCCATAGGGTACTTATAAGTCCATGCGAGTAATACGGGGGAATCATCCGTAGAACGGCGAATGACTTTTGAGCCAATTTCTCATGATGCAGTGAGAAGGGCATTTTGAAGAGAGCCAGATACCCAAATGCCTTGTAGCATCCATCCTTCTGATGTTTTCTGGTCCATTATCACCATGCACGACAAAGGAGTTCGCCGAATCCTCTCCGAATGACATATGGACCAACTTTTCGTCCTTCAAAGCAAGGTGCCTGTCCAACGACCACTGCCTTGCGGGATCTGCATCCGTCCCAAGGGAACTGGCATTTGAACTCCAGGATTTGAATTTGTTTGCAAAAAAAGTCCACATGAACTTAAAAAGACGTCTGGTAAGTCGTTGACTTATATCCGAAATAGCAGTAGTCTCAAACGGAGCCTTCAGGAACTCCAATGGAGACCTGCACCGGAGAACAGTAGGCCGAGCCTCATTTCGTTTCCAGCATTCTTCGCATCTTCCATCCCTTCGATATTTCGGGTCCATCAAGCTTCTCGGTCTGCGCGGCCACTCAGTTTCACCTGGCGCCGGGTGGAGTTGGCGTGGCGACCAGGTGAAGTCTGTCGCCGGGTCTCCAGCAAAGACACGGTCCTATCAGATATCCAATGCTTGCATGAGGTTGGCCGGGTTGTACCGCAAGCAGACGCTTCTGCCTTGAGAAGCGCCTTGGATATTTTTTCCCANTCAGCAACCTTGTGAGTAGTTTCCTTTATGAAAGATGAAGTTTATTATGGAACTTTCAGAACTGCTTTGCAGTGTTTGTTTACAATTGTGTACTATTCAGTGGATATCCACGAAAGTTCGAGATGTATGCGAATGTTCAGTGTTAAAAAACTGGGTGCGTTTGAGACGTTTGCTTTCTTGTCCAGTGGCTTGTTACTACTTTGTTGGTGTCCGCCAATGAACGAATATGTAGCGAAGGATTTCCCTTCTTTCAGTGCTATCTTCAAGGTTCAGCAAATCAATCTTTCGACACTATAAATTTTCCGGTGTAGTTTCCCCATCAAAATCCATTGTTTTTGGGACGATCTCTGCAACAGGGTCACCTTTGAAGGCTACTACTGAACTGCCACTTCTTGTGGGGTGTTAAGCCATTAAATTGTAGAATTTAAATGTGCTACTCAAAAAGCAGACGGAACCCTTTTGTGTCAAACCCATTTGTCCTGTTGTTATCGACAGACAGGGATCTTCTTGTTGGAAATGAATTTCCAAGTAAGTCCGCGACGCAGATTTTATTTTTAACTGTGGATTACTGTGAATTGTTTCGGCTGAACGGATTCACGATCCGTTTGCCCTGCTAGCATTCATGGAGACTGTTAAATTATTAAAATAACAGTTTTTCAAGGTATTTATTTCAAGCAGGAGTGCTTTAGAGTTGTGGGTGTCCTGTGCTAAACACCAAAAGGAGGCGTTAAATACCTTTTTAAAACAATTTATTATAAAAGAAAAGACTGCTTGACAGGATGAACCATTCCCATCTTCAGATGAAATACTGTTTTTTAAAAAAACGTGTTGGTGATCCACGAAGTTCTGCGTTGAAGTCGCCAACTGACCCATTTGTGTCAGGTGTGCCAAAATGAGAACTGCCATTTTCTGCAGTACAGAAATCCCAGATAATTTACTGGTCAGTTTTCCCTCCAGAACCTATGGATCTTGGTAAGCATTCGAGCTCATTCTACGCAGAGGCACTTACTGACTTTCGTTCGAAATGGCCCCAGATCCTCTTCACAAAGCATAAAACTTTAAAATTTCCCTTGATTAGAGGCGTTCGCCATGATGGTGTACGAGTTGTTCTTTTTACAAACAGTGGAT